GGGGTATGCTGGTTGTGGGGTACCGGGTGGGACAGAAACCCCGACAAGCCAACCCTCATGTTACAAGATCACACAGTGGGCAAATGGGGAAGCTAACAGAATTAAGTGCTAGACTACAGGGTGACACTGTCAGGCCATGGGAATGCACAGCAACGCAGAAAGTGCCAGGAGAATGCCAGATGCCGTGCCCCTCTGAGCACCAGGGTGCATTAGCGTGACGTTGTAACATAGCAGGGTGCGTGGCAAAGTTACACCGCACCTGGAGAATACACAGAGATTACAAAGGACCAGGACACAGAGCAACAAGGGAGGTTTGTGTGAAAAGTAGAAGTATGACCTCCCAGGGCATGAATGGCTTAGGGTTTGACCGAGGTCTGAGAGGTCACAACGGGTGAGGGTTTTGAAAAATGTCTCAAGAAGTTGGAGGAGGTAGGAGAGGAAGTGATGTTCTCTAGACATAGAAGGGTCTCTGTGGAGAACAGTGTGCTCAAGGTTACCAAAATATGTCTGGTGCTATACGCAGATAAGTGCCAAAGGGGTGGCCAGGGTACAGGGGGAGGGGAAGGAGAGAGGATGGGTCTGTAAACAGGGGCTGAGAGCGGGCAGCCCCCACACCCTGCACAGATAGCAAACATGTCCTGGGAGGTCAATTTGTGGTTTTAGGATGAAGAGAGGTGGCCCTGAGGAGGTCACATCTGGGCAAAGGGGTGAACCAGTTATTAAAAGATAAAAATTGGCAGAGCACACTGAATAGTCAGACAGGAGCAGGATGACCTAAGTCCCATGACACCACGGCCAGGATGTTAGTCTGAGTGACAGGATGACACACAGGTGTCATCTAACATGATGGATTTTCAGAGCGTGGCTTCCCTTCCCTCTACACTGTGCTCTGAGTCTAAGGGCCCAGCCAGAGCTCAGTGGTTAACGCTGGTCTCCTGAGAGAGCCAGTGGAGGCAGAGAAAAATGTTCAGAGCACACATGCCATGTATATCAGACAGGCCTTGTTAAAGAAGGACCAACCCGGAGCTGGAGAGATGGCTCAGTGGTTAGGGGTACTGTCTACTTTCCCAGAGGACCTGGGTTCGGTTCCCAGCACCTACATGTCAGCTCACAACCATCTGTAACTCCAGTTCCAGAAGATCCAATTCCCTCTGTGGCACAGTATACACAAGATATACAGATAGACACGCAGGCAGAACATACACACACACATGATACAAGTAAGTGAAATCTCAAGAAGAAGAGGAGGAAGAAATAGAAGCAGCAGCAACAGTCAGTCTGGTGTCCTTAGTTTCCTGAGTTTTGTTTTGGGGATGTAGACCACGTGAGAGAAATTTGAAGTTGGGGACATTATGTAGGGCAGAAAGGAGGTGTGATGGTGAGCGCAGAGGAGGGAGGGGCTCAGTAGCATGCATGAGTCAGGTCAAGAAAGTGGCATTGCCTATACACTGTATACATACATACAAGCAGGCATGCACAAACAGATGTAAATTTTAAAAAATAAATAAAATCTAAAGTCAACACACAAAACTGGAAAATAAAGTGTCAAATAAAATAGGCTTCAGAAAACAGAGCAAAGAACCCATCTGAAGGCGCTTGCCCTTCCGTGATGTCCCTCAGCTTCCATGTCTCCAAACTTTCCTTTAAGCGTAGTTTGCTCTGCTCACAAGACCATGTGATTAGAGGTAGGCGACAGTGGAGATGGCTGGGCTGCAGATAGGGAGGCTGAGGAACCAGCCAAGTTCCACCTAGAGTATCCAACACCTGACAGCAGGACATTTGAGTTCAACACCTCCTGGGGATTAGTGGTGACAAGATACAGGACTTAGACTTCTGTAGGAGTTTTCATCTTGGAGCCAAAGTTCTCTCGCTCCCAAGAGGGCAGCAGGAACCTACTACCCAAGGTCTGGTTTCCCAGCAAGGAGAGGGCGAGCCAAGTACAGGAGGCACCATGGTGGTCTGTGGAGGCCGAAAACTGCAGGCCCATTTCCACCTTGTCTGTCGGTCAGAGTTCAGAGATTTGACAAGCAGAGTTGTGTCCTAATGCAGGAGGTGACTGATTCTTTTGAAATTAAGATAGCTCAATACCATCCTGACAGGTGGTCAGGATATGTATGAAAATGTATTTCTGGTCCTTCTATTGTAACTATGAGATCACCTAGGGAAAGGTGGTCTTCAGTGACTTAGAGACCTTAGCTACCTAGTCTACAGAATGCTAATGATTTGATGTCTCAGCGTGATAAGGCCATTGAGTGTGTGAGTCGACCTTTTGTATCATGTTAATAGTCTTTTGTTGCCTTCTCCCCCAGCTTATGTTGGGTATGGTATAAATCTGTGGAAAAATAAACACAGGTGAATTTCAGGATTTCGGTCACTGGAATGCCCTCCTGATACTTTCTGTGTTTTCTGTCTTATTGTTTTTATGTGTCTTCATATTCCTTATTTTATATTTCTTCAATTCTCACACCCCTACCCTGGTAAGAAGTATTTTTTGTCGAGGCTGATCCTCGACAGTGGTCTCAGAAGGGTGTCCCATGAACCCCTTGCTGACCCTGACTGAAGTCAAGACGGTTCCCTCCTCCTGTTCAGAGCACCTAGGTCTCAGCATCTGCATTTCTGCTCCCCCAGAGAATGGAGGGGACTGTGGTCATTTGTTCTCTAGACCCCTCTTGAACCCCTCCTTTCTCTGCTAATGAACTCTTCCATTCCCTTCCTCTCTCTGTCCAGAGGAAAGTAAACTAACGAGGAAGGCATCTTCCCATTGCAGTGTGGGCAAGGTGGGGGTAGAGGTGGGGGGATACGGACGCTTCCCCCTAAGCCTGAGGAGGAGAGGTTTTATAGAACGCAGCCAGCCACAGCCAGTTCCATCCTGCCTAATGGTTGGTTATTTACGCAGCCCCGAGCCTTTCCAGGCTCTTCCCCTCGGCTGCCCACTCGGGCATCGATCTCCCTAATGGCAAGGCTCTGCAGCGGTGGGTGTTGGCTGCCCTGTCCCAAGCCTTCCTGGGGCCACTAATTAGCTGCGGTCCAGAGACTGCACTTCACAGATGGGAAACTGGAGCCCGGAGGCCCTACTAGGAAGCAAGAGAAGGCGGCTGGGCTGGGCACAGGGCCTGATTCTAGACTCTGACTTTCCACGGCTGTTGCTGACTCAAGGGGAAATCATGTGTGTTGGGGTGGAGGATGGGGAGGTATTCTCCCAGAGAGGGGAACACGAACTGAGGTCTAGAGCTGGCAGGTAAGATGCTAACTGTTTTCTGAGCGGCAGAGCAGGGAGAGTCTTTGCATGGTGACAGCTCCGGAGCAAGGAAGGTGAGAGGTTAGCAGTGTCTTTCAAAGGGTACAGAGCTTGACTTGGCACTGGGACTTATTGTTTTGACTTAGACTGGTTTGTTTTGGGTGACTGTGGGGACAGCAGATGGAGTTTATCAGGGCCCCAACCCCAAGTGCCCCAGCCTCTACAACCATGATTTTAGCTAAGAGGTTTTCTGACACTTATCAGCCCCAAATCAACTGTGTATGCAGTAGCCAGGTCCCCCATACTTACAGGGGAAAAGAGAACCAGGAGACCCAGCCAAGGGATCCCAGGCACCTACCACACAATGGAAGCCACCAGGTGAAAATGCCTGGCGGGAAAAATCTTAAACAAGGACAAAAAGTCAGGCCCAGTGGAGAGAGAAGACTGCCCGAGGTAGCTGCCCGAGGTAGCTCAGGACATTCTGCACAATAGCTCCCCCACCCCAAGTGTTCAAGCTCACAGACCTCACACAAGTGGTGAAGCAGAGACTGGATGCTCCTGGCCCTCAGTGGCTGCAGTTCCAACGGTGCAGCCCTGGGAACCTCTCATATAACCTTCACCCTGCTCCAAGCCTTCACTTAAAGTATCAGAGAGAAACTCAACTTGGGAGGGACTGGGGGTGGGGGTGGGGCTGAATCTCATTAAATCCCCAAGAGAAATCAGCCAGAAGTAATAAAAGGGTATGAAACCCTCTCCGCAAAAACGTGAAAGCCCATCCACACCTCCATTTGTTCTGAGGTCTTACAGGAATAGTAAATTATTCATCAAAAATCGAACATCAGCACTAACCACCGCCACAAGCACATGACCTGCGGTCCTGAAAACATCCCAGGCACTCAGACTCGTGGTGTGGGATGGAGAAGGGGCTGTGGTCCCAGAAACGGTCATGCCCTTGTCTTGAGTTTTTTAGACACCAGCAGTAAATCTCAGGTAGCTTGAGAATGAGAGCAATGCAGACAACGGTTCTTTGCCCTTGCAGCCAGGATTGGGAGGTTCCTGCAAGTCCAGGTCTGGTTCTCCTTCTCCCAATACCTGTCAGGGCTGTTTGTACGTAGAAAGTCGTGTTTATCTGGGACCTTCATTTGGAGTCGTTGCTGAGAATGGGGCCAAGGTTGCTCTGTCTCTCCACAAATACCACTCCGAACATCAGTTCAATCTACCTTCTCTCCCACTCCCAACTTCAGGTGTGTGTGTGTGTGTGTGTGTGTGTGTGTGTGTACACGCGCGCGCATCAAAGCACAGTTGGAGGGGTTGTGGTTACAGGTTTGTGGGTCACTCTGCTGAGATCGGCGAGTGGTCTGCTGAACAGAGAGTGGCACCCATCTCCCAGCCCACTTTAAGCCTCAACAAAGGGATGGAATTGGCTGTGGAGGTTTCTGCAGGAAGTCTCCTTCTGCCGATCTCGCCCAACTTAACCTCAGTCTCTAGTCCACATGCAGCCTCGCCACTTGGGACCCGGGACTCAATTCATTCCTCAGGGAATTCCTGGCCACTATAGGCCCGTGATTCCATTCTAACTTCGGCGGCCAATTAAAGTCGCATCTTGGGGGACAGCACAGGGAGAAACTAGCTGGGCGGGCCAAGGTCACAAAGGAAGGCTGAGGCAGGGCGGTGACTAAAGGAGTGGGAGGGGTCCTGAGGCCCCCGGACTCCCTCCCAAGTCGGGGAGGAGAGGTCTCCCGGGACCGGGGCACTCACTCACCGCCGGGACCACTTGGCCGACGATCTCCCGAACGGCCGCTTCCACAGAACCCCGTAGAGCTGCACTTTGGTGCTGATGTCCAGCGCGTCCGCGTCGGCCTGCTCCAGGGACGGCGATGGCGACACAGAGTTCGACTTGGACGTGAACATCCTGTCTCGGAGGCGCTGCCCCGGCCGTGCCCACCCCTTTCGTGGGACTGGAAGGGACAGGGAGGACGGCGGGAAGCAGTGGGCGCGACCAGCAAAGGTAGCTCGGGAAGCCGTCGGGGCTAGTTCCAGCGAGCGGAGCCGGACGCCGAGGGGCGCGGGAACCGCAGCCAGAGCCTGGGACGACGCTCGGGAGCGCCGCCGGCTGGTAGGGAACTCCGCGGGGAGGGCAGCTCCGCCGCAGGCTCGCAGCATCCACTCTCCCCCACCCCCTCCCGCGCAGGCAGCCTCAATTCTGGTGGCCTGGATTGGCTGGGAGTGGCAGGTGAGCCGGCCGCAGGCCAGCGGCGAGCGCCAATGAGGGCAGACGCCGGCTGCAGAGCCCAGCTCAGGGAGTTGGCAGGGTCCTAGCCTGTCGCTCAGCCGGGGATTTGGCACTTGCACCTCCCCACCCCCACCCAGACGCCCAGCCCTCTCCCAGTTCTTTATAATCTGTGGCCCCTACGTCAAAACGCTGACTGGCTAGGTGTGCTTGGTGAAGATCAGGGTCATTCCGCAGGCACCTGCTAGCCTCTGGGCGTGGGCGTGGTGTTAGGGAACCGGACTCGTGATTCCCAATCAGGCTTTCAATGACTCTGCAAACCTCTGGACCGTGTTTTTCACACCTTTAAAGCAGAGACGCTTGCTTGGGGCAAGTCAGTGTCCAGCTAAGACTTCGGTAAGTGCCAAAGGACCCGCCTCGTAGAATAGGTTCCAGCAAGGTTCAGGACCCTTCCCTGTCCCCACAGGTGGGTTTCACTTTGCACCGCCGCATTTGCCTGGATCAGATCGAATTTCTTTTCCTGGCACTTGGCAGCCTGTGCTGGCATTTGACACTCAGTGTCAATCTCAAACTGTCAACGCAGCTTGTGTTCGTGATTTATCTGTGCATCTCCGGTGCTCCCCAGGGCTAGGTGCTCTGTCCACTTCCGCTCTCAGTGTGGGCATTTGTTGACCGCGTCACTCCGGCCAAGCCTTTGGCCTCCTCTGCCGTTGGAAAGGTACTCCAAAGTGAAGAAAAGGGTTTGTTTGCATACTGGAGCCGCACCCCTCCCTCTCCTCCTTTTCCAGGTTAAGAACCCACCAACCCTCAGAGGCAGACATAATTTACCGACGTCCTTAGTGAAATAAAGAAGTGAAACTGCATCAGAGTTTACAAATAAATGAGTAATCTGAGAGCCAAATCAGTTTGCTCAGACTTGATGAATTTGCCCAGAGCAAGCAACACTGAGGTAGTTAGTATCTCAGTTACCATATCTCCAGGGCTCATTTGGATTGAGAACACCGTGTAGCCACCACCCAAAGTAAGAGACAGACCTTTCCAGCCCTACCAGTCAACCCACAATCTTGCCTCACTTTTCACTATTTGCTTAATTGCCTTAAAATATTTGACCTGAATGCCCTAAAAAAAGGCAACCTTCAAAGACCTCACTGTCACCTTCTCTTGTTGTCTTATCTGCACAGCTTTTCTTCTCTACAGTCCATAAAACTGTTTTTATCTTCCAGAGAATCAAGCCTGGGGCCTTGTGAATGCTCCACACCTACCCTACCATTGAATTATGTGGTCCTTTGCAGGTGTTCAGTCCCTTGCAGGTGTTCGGTCCCTTGCAGGTGCTTGTTTATAATCCTGATCCTAGACACTTTCCGTACTTTAGGAGGCCTGCTCTTCTTAAATACAAACAAACCAAAAAAAAAAAAAAAAAAAACTTGCACCAAAAGCCTTTGGCATTGTGTTCCCTGGAGCACAACAGGACCTTGAGTTGCAGGTGGTAAACACAGGAAGCAGCTCGCACTGGCACGTGCTTTTCCAGAGAAGCAGGTGGCGAAGGCACCTGACTTGCTTCCAAAGGTTTCTATGGTTTCTGGGCTGCCTTCCTGAGGCAGCAGTAGCAAGGGTGCCCACTGCAGTGGGAGTTGCTTAGAGTCAGAATCCTGGCAGTGACCGACAGTAGCAGCTAATGTTCTATGTCATGAAAAGGGTTTGAAGGATTGTTCTAGAAACTTCCCCTCAAACCTGGCTCTCTGGCCCCCCTGATACTCTTTTAGCAAACTCATTCTCTCTCCTGAATCGAGTCAGTGGCAGCTCTGGCCTTGTGGTAAAGGCCAGTGATGAGCTTGTAGAGCCACTCATGAGAAATTTTTCAAGGGGAAGGGCTGAAAAAGCCCAGGGGCTCCTGGAAAATATTCTGTGATGTAAGAAATGGAGTCTAGGTTTTTTTTAATGGTCGAGGGAAGCCAGTCTTGCTCATTTCATTTGCATGCAGAATATCTGGACAGCCTTCAACTAACAGCTAAGGTTGGGCAGAAAAACTGTAAGAGGCAAGCAGTGAGATGCTTCAGTGGTTCGCTTCCCTTGTCAGACAGCCCAGATGCTGCCAGCTCAGGCATGGGCAAAGCTTTTCTGTTTCCACTGTGTTCTCTGCCCAGGTGCCGGGAGTCTCAGTGCACACTGAGTCCTGGGGAAGACAAACAAGCCAGGGCAGAAGACGAGTAGGTGAGGGATGCCTAAGCATTCTTTTCCTTTCTTCTTTTCTTTATTCCTTCCTTCCTTCCTTCCTTTCTTTCCTTGAGATAGGATCTTGCTATGTAGCCCAGTGTAGTAGACTATTCATTTCCTGACAGCTCAGACCCGAAAAACCATACAGAAACCATATTAATTACAACACTGTTTGACTGATGTCTCAGGCGTATTTCTAGCTAGCTCTTACATCTTAAATTAACCCATTTCTATTATTTTATATTTACCACGAGCCTTGTGGTTTATTACTTCTTGCTTCTTGGGCAGTTACATGGCATCTGCCTCCTTTGGCAGCTACACGGAGTCTCTCTGACTCCGCCTACTCTCTCTATACATCTCTGCTTGGATTTCCCACCTGGCTTTACACTGCTAAGCCATTGGCCAAAACAGCTTTATTCATCAAACAATAAAGCAACACATATACAGAAGAATATCCCATATCGGCCCAGCTGGCCTCAAATTTGTTATCCTCCTGCCTCCACTTCTGGAGTGCTGGAATTATAGGCATGTACAACATACTTGACCAGCATGACCCAGTCTTAGCATTCAAATGAGATTAGGGTGGGAACTCAGGCTAAAGGTTGCCCCCAACCTCCTGGTTAGGTGTGGCGCTGCTGTCCTTAGTGTACCATTTCCAGTTCACCTAATTTAGCTAATTGTGGCAAGAGGCTAAGGGCAACACTTTAATCTTCATTGCCTCATGAGAAAAATTAAGATGAAAAAGGTTTATCTAGCTTTTAATTCAAGTCTGGTGAATCCTCTGTCCCCAGGAATTTATGCACTTCTTCTAGATTTTCCATCTTTTTGGAACACAGATTTTCAAAAATATTCCCTAATAAGCCTGGATGGCATTTGTATCTGTTGGAACGGCACTACGCCCCCACCCCCACGCCTTTCATCTCTCTTTTCTGAGACAATGTCTCACGGTGCAACCCTGACTGGCCTGGAAGTCACTGTGAAGACCAGAATGACCTTGAATTTACAGATGTCCTCCTGCCTCTGTCTTTAGAGTACAGGGGTTAAAGGTATATACCACCATTCCTTGCTCTAATCTTCCTAATATTGGTCTTCTTTTTTTTTCTTATGACTAGTTTTGCTAGGCTTCCTCAGCCTTATTCCCCAGGGAAAGATGAGTGTGTTATCTGCCTGTTCCACAGCCCTGTGACACAGGACAGTCAGACGCGATGGGAGTCAAGTCAAAGCAGAACTTAGTTTATTACTGTGAGTGTCAGCTTATATAGGTTAAGTGACATCGCGTGATGTGGGGGTACCTCCAGTCAATGAGAGACAGCCAAGCCCTCCCTCTGGCTGGAGGGGCATCTACCTAGATTTTGCTGTCTCATCCTCGGTAGCTTTGAGACTCCCTCAAACTCAAGCCAGGCTTTTCTCTATCCTACAGGCCTCGAGGTACAGGCCCTGAGATAATTTTAGCTCAATAGAGTTTGGCTAAAAGCTGTCAATCCTGTTTGTCTTTCCAAAGAACTAACTCTAGGTGTGGGGAGATGGGCCAGTGGTTAAGGGCATTTGTGGCTCTCTTGTAGAGGACAAGGGTTCAATCCCCAGCACCACATGGTGACTCACAACCACAGGTAACTCCAGTTCCGGGGATCCAGTGCCCTCTTGTGACCTTTGTGGGCACCAGGAACACATGTGGTACATATACACACATGCAGATAAAACACTCATACATATAAATAATCTTAAAATTATTTCAAAAGAACGGTTTCACTTTTTGTATCTTCTCAGTCTGTTTCATTACTACCTTCTGGTTTGGCATTTAACTTGTTCTTGTTTGCTAAGACCCCGAGGTGCATTGTTTAGTTTTTTTTATTATTATTATTTTATTTATTATGTATACAATATTCTGTCTGTGTGTATGCCTGCACGCCAGAAGAGGGCATCAGACCCCATTACAGGTGATTGTGAGCCATCATGTGGTTGCTGGGAATTGAACTTGGGACCTTTGGAAGAGCAGGCAATGCTCTTAACCTCTGAGCCATCTCTCCAGTCCTGTTTAGTTGTTTTTGTGTTTTAAGTTATCTACCACTCAGGAGAAACACTTCTGTAATCCTAGTATTCAGGAAGCTGAGGAAGGATGATCACAACTTGGAGATTGGACTGGGCTACTTAATGAGACACTGTCTCAAAAAAAAAAAAAATAGCTGGGCTGGAGAGATGGTTCTGAGGTTAAGAGCACTGGCTGCTTTTCCAGAGGTCTTGAGTTCAATTCCCAGCAACCACGTGGTGGTTCACAACCATGTATAATGAGATCTGGTGCCCTCTTCTGGTGTGTAGGCAAACATGCAGCAAAACACTGTATAAGCAAATCTTTGAAATAATAATAATAAATAAGTTGTGTACTCAAGGTTACATAGCTAGGCTTTCCCTGAAACATGCTGGGCCTGTGCATGCATGTGGAGTGGGGGAAGCTGTCGATCAGACATCTTGATTTGTTCAGAATCTAGACCTTCCCACTGCAGCTCACGGCTTGTGAACTGAAGTGGGAGCCCGGGAAATGCTGAGCCACTTTGAGTGTTCTCCATGTTAGTTATTTCTCAATTGACAAATGACCTAAGGGTTCTTTAAGGGACCATTCTGTGTTCATATGTTTAGTTGGGTGAGTTTTGTGAGCACCGTGTGCAGGCAGGAGCCCTGAGGAGGCCGG